GCTATTGGTTTTGGGAAAAAAATTTAAAAATAATTTTTTTTAAATAAAACAAGGATTTTAAGTTATAATTTTATTTCATAAAATTTCATCACGAAAAAAAGTTTTGATATGAAATAAAGTAAGGGTTGTTAATTTCACCCCCCTATAATGTAACAGGAATATTGAAAAAATACCCGTGGTTAGTCCTTTGCGAGTGCACGAAAATTACAGAATTTCAAGTTTCTAGCTTTACTGAAATTTTAGAATAAAAAAATCTCAGTTTTAGCCACCACCTTTTAAGGGTGATATCTCGGAAAGGCGTGGGCTAAGAAAATTTTGTTATGGGAAAGACCCATCTTAATTTCATACGAGCAATCACCTCCTGAATTTAGAAAAATCCTGTATTTACAGATTTTCACGGACTCAAAACATTGGTTTGTTGATGGGACATTTAAACCAACTGCCTCAATTTTTTACCTACATAATTACGGCTAAATAATTTGGGGGAGTTCATCCTGTTGTTTATGCTCTCCTGCCCAACAAACGGCAAACTACATATGTCCGAATGATTGGTATGATGGGACATTTACAGCCAGCTGCAAATCCGGAGAAGATTTCATACGATTTTGAACTGGGTGCCATAAAAGTTTTCAAAGAAGAGTTTCCAAATACCGAGCTGCTAGGTTGTTTTTTTAATTTGGTGAAAAATATAAAAAACCATTTGGCGCAAATGAATTTGCTGGGTCGATATAATACCGATACTGATTTTAGTCTTCATGCACGAATGGTGAGGTTTTTGGCATTTGTTCCTGAAGAAGACATGGATATTGCAATCGACCATTTATTTGGAGAATTGTCTAATGAGTTGCAACCTCTAATAGAATGGTTCGAGGACTTATACGTAGGACGTCCTCAACGACAGGGTCAAGGAAGGCGCAATCCACTCTTTTCGATCACATTGTGGTCTGTCTACAACCTCGTTTTGGAAGGTACAGACAGAACGAACAATCACGCCGAAGCTGCACACAGACGACTTCAAAACGAAATGTCCATGGATCATCTAACAATATAGAAATTTATTGATGCACTTAAAAAGTTACAAACAGGAAGGGACTTGTTTTTATGAACAATTACTATTGGGCCAGCAAACGCCAGCTAAATAAAAAAAACATCGCGATTGTGACGAGAAGATTTTAAAAATCGATTATAAAAAGAGAAATATAAACGAATATTTAAAAGCAATATCACATAATTATATTATGCATTCTTAATAATAAAATTAAAAGAGACATTTCAAATATATTATTTTGTATGAATTATTACCTACCTAAAAAAAATACACTTGGCGTCGAAACGGCCCGGCGTCGAAACGGCCGGCGTCGAAATGTCCTCGCGTCGAAACGGCTGCGTCGAAATGGCCGCGTCGAAACGTCCTAGACCGTATGTATGTAACGTGTTTTTTCTCATTCAAGCAATAAATCTAGTAATAATTCATTTTCTTTTATATCCCAAAATGTGTCATTCGATAGAACAACTGTAGTTAATAAAAGTGATAGTTATAAATATGTTAATAATTCAATACTTGTACAATAATATAACTATTATAGATACATACACATACCAGTCACTTGAAAGAATTGCGTATCACATTAAAACATATTAATCTACGTTGATCTTTACTTGTCAACATCTATAATATGTTACATAAAATATTTTGTTGTCATTAAAAACGAAAAATTATAATCGATTAGCTTTCTCCTGAAATAACCTTTATCAAATAAGTGGTATTTCTTAAGTTTAATACCCTGTATCTCAAGAACTAGTCATAGGATTTGAATGGTCCCATAGACACTATTGCTTAAGAGGTCGAGAACTGCAACACATCAAAAATTTATTATATTTAACAGATCGCCACTTTTCCATAAGCGGTGTGCGCGGTCCTTTAAATTTATCGATAACAAATAACTTACAACTTTTTTCACTATATGTAACGATTCCATCTTAATTAAAGAACGAAATAATGAACACTGATGAATAAATTAAAAATAATTATTCTCAATTTGTTAAAACAGTTACCTACAAGTACATTAAAAGGAAATTAAGGGTTGTGAGATAGTTAATCTCTTGAGTTCATATTCTAGGCCCAACTTAACGGTAGGATTAGGAACTACCTGATTTTTTGTCCTAACTGACATATTACGTTTCGTAGTTTTAAGAAAATAATTTTTTAATAAACTTATTTTATTTTGAAAATAATTGACTTTCGCGAAACTTAAGAACCATACGTTATACATGCTTTTTTACAGTAGCTGTCGAGATATTTTCTCATTTACGTACTTTGAATAGTAGGAAAATGAGTAGACATAATAATGCAGCACCAACTGTTGCTCCAATTACATACACCCAGAGCGGCAACATTTTGGTGCGGGTCGAAAAAATCAGTGTATAGGCATGAGCATCCGTTCTGAAAGAGAAATGTTATTTATTAACTAAATAAAATACTCAATTTTTATTTATTTGCAAATATTAGCAATCAGAACTACTATAGATGATAGTTGGGGAACTTTTTGCAGACTTTGGTTTAATATATTCCAAGATCGGTAATTATGTCCTGTATTTCATTGTTGCTTCTTTGTTCAACTTGTTATATACACAAAGTTCTATTTTGTCCATATCAACTGGATAATATTTCTGTATAACATGTTTTTGTTTAAAGGCTTTTTTTCCTACTGAAAAATTCGACATTCTTCCCACTGCCAACTCAATTTATTGACCTTTACAATATGGTCTTTCCATGTGAGTTTCTTATCCCTTTGTGGTCAGATCAGCTTGGAATAGATTCAATTTTTAACAATCTTCTTTTTTTTTGGAAGCTCCTCTAACAATTTTGTTGCAATTTTGTAAACTGGAGCTTCTTTGGAATTTAAAATAATGATTTGAAAAGTAGTATGTTCTTATGTTCTTATGAATGGTAAAACAGTTCACCAGGAACGAGATAGGCCAGGTTTATAAAAGCCATCACCAAAACTCACCGAGTATACTTTAAACCAGAGTAGAAAAAATACTGTATTAATAGTACGCTTATTAACAGGACATTTTAGGCCTAACAAACATATGTATAACACGGCCTGGCAGAAATAACTTTATGACCATTTTGTCAGGAAAAGGCGGAAATTACACGTACTGTGCTACTGGGAAGGTACATCAAGACTGAGAATTATTACTGACTGACCTCGGCATGCCCTGTCAAGGTTATGCCGACGACATAGTCATATTTGCTAGAGACAAGTTTGGAAATATCCTGTGTGAAGTCTAAAGAGGACTAGAACAAATCAAAAGATGGTGCCGTGAGGTGGGTCTTAGTAAAACCCCCACGAAAACTACACTAGTAACCTTTTCAAGAAAACTCAATATCAAAACCGTCAAATTAGATGGGATAGATGTAGAATGGAAAAAACAAGTCAAATATCTAGGCCTAACCCTATACAACAAACTCTTATGGGACATACAGGGGAAGGAAGTATTAAATAAAACAACAAAAGCCCTAAAGGTACGCAGAAACATTGCGGGAAAAAGATGGGTCTGTAACCCGAACACACTGCGATGGATGTATACAGCAATAGTGAGACCAATCACCCCTTACGGAGCTGTAGCCTGGAGTAAAAGAACTAGTTTAGCTACTACGAGAGCCTAATATCTCAAAAGTGGCATGTGTTTGCATCACCAGTGTAATGAGAACCTGTCCTACAGCCGCAATAGAGGTGATCTTAAACCTCACTCCTCTACATTTAATGATAAGATAATGTGGCAAAATGGACACGATATAGAATGCTCCCCTTCAGTATACTCCCCTCCTCTTACCTCACACCATTCCATTTGTTTTTTCCATTGGTCAAAGCAATGCTGGAAGGGCATGTAGGAACTCCGCCGATTTTCGCTTCACCTCTTCCATCGACTCGAACCGGGTTCCTTTTAAGGCAGAAATTGATCTTTGGAAACAGTAAAAAGTCATAAGGTGCTAAATCAGGAGAGTACGGTGCATGTTCGGCACTGGTGTGCCTCTAGCAGCTAAATAACGCTTCACAGATAGCGCATTATGGTCAGGTGCGTTGTACTGGTGCAAGATCCACGACTTGTTTTTCCACAACTTAGGCTGTTTTTTACGAACTCGCTCTCGCAGTGTTGCCAAAAATTTTAAATAATAATTTTGGTTTACGGTTTGACCCTCTGGAATCCATTCGGTCATCACGATGCCGTTGATGTAAACAAAAAAAAAAACGAGTAGCATGGCTTTCAATTTTGTTTCGACATTCGGCCTTTAGAAAACCGTTTATACCATTTGAAAATACGCTTACGAGCTAGAGAATTCTCACTTTATGCCTCTTTTAACAACTTATAGCACCCAGTCATAGTTATTTTTTAATTTAACGAGAAATATCACATATATCCGTTACTCGTGTTTTTCGTCGCACATTGTTATCGGCACCAGAAAAAAACACGTTCGTTCCTAACCTCTATAGAAAAAATAATACTACAGTGACAAAAACGTGTTTTCGTACTGAAATAGTGGACACTTCCAGCAGTTCCAGCTATGCAACGTTGCATTCGTTTCCCACCCTACCCCTCTAGGACTCTTTCTGCGCGCGCCGTTTCGTTATTTAATTACAAGATCTCGTATCTACAACTGGACAGAGATTCTTATGTGCGTACTCAACATGTAACGAATTGAATAAAGAGAGACATTACATACGAATCGCATTCTGTAGAACGAAGATAGTCTTCTCAACACGTGCCGAAAAGGTCGAGGTGTAGGAAGCCAACCAATATAATCTAATGTTCTTAGCAATTTCTGCAAAATATCTGCCTATTTTAACATTAGTGGTACGTACATTCTCTTCAGCGTTTCTGGTCCAATAACAAAAGTACTAATTGTAGCGATTATTGCTAAATGAATTAATTATTGGGACACAAAGAGAAAAAAGAACAAAAAACAAAAACCTGCAATTACTGCAAATACTTACATTGTTGTTCCATTAGAAATAACTGCTGTAGAAATATAGGCTAGATTATATTTATTTTTATTTTTTTCTTGGGTATGAAAAAACTCTTCTAAAATGAAAAATTAAAATGAATATTAGGTTATATTAAAAAAAAAATACGATGAATTTTGATAATCGGTTAAAAATATAGAAGTATTTAAATAGTAACACCAATACACATAGTTGGAGAGCTGATGACGAATTTGTAGGAGGTGTTTGAGACAACTAGAAATTATAAAAAAACAGTTAGTATCTATTTTGCGGTTATTTTTTTACTACGGTGCAAAAAATTATTGCCAATAATGTTTTAGACAACCTGGCAATATTTTATTTTTTTATTTTAACATTTATAGAATCTAGAAATAAAAATGGCAGACTGTTTCGACGGTTTTAAAGACATATTTAAGTTCTTATGTCAAAAACGCTTAGACTCAGGTATAAAACAGGATATATAAAATCTGCCTAGAATCTTGAGTAGAATTTAAAAATATAATAATATTATATAGGGTCTCATATTTAAAATAAGCAACTAAAGGTATATTTCCGGTATAACCGGAAGCGTTTAATAGATGAAATTTTTTTGACTGAATAGGCCCCAAAAATCAAGCAAGTTTGCCAAAAAAATTCAAGTTTACACCTTTCCTCAAATTTTTCCATTACTGTCAATTTTAGAGAAATCATGTTTGGAACAAAAATTATAGAGAATAACATTGTAAATAACTTAAAAATTTTCCAAGCGTAAATAGCAGATATATTTTATAAAGTAGAAAAACGACCCCCTATAAAATACCTCCAAGATGTTCCGACTGTGCCCAAAATTTAATCAATTCACTGCAGGATGAATTGAAGCTTAAATTTAAAATTTGGTGTCTTTATCTTTATACTTTTTTGAGTTATCTTCAAAATAAAAAATTTGTCGTAAAAATTTTAGGGTGCCTTGACTATATTTTTGGAATCCCTGCTATCCCTACTATATAATATTACAAATGCAAAAGTAAGTTTGTTTGTTACGCTTTCACGCAAAAACTACTTAACTGATCATCATGAAATTTTGTACACATATTTTTGGAGATATTAGAAGTAACATAGGATACTTTAAAAAAATATATTTTTTACGGAAGATAAAAAAATTGTTTACAAGAAATTTAAAAATCTAGCTACTTCAACGCCATCTAGCATTCCAGTAATGAAGTTTCAACCCTGAGTACTGTAATATCGTCGCATTGTATTACCAACGGTCACGTCAATATCCAATCCAATCACATAATCCAATCCAATTGAGTATAGTTTCAGCTGTTTGAAATTTTTCTATATTTATTGTTATTTTCTTCTGTCATTATTCTATGAAGTATAAAACTATTGAATTTTTGAGGTTAGGTGTCATTTTTGTAGTTACATGTCACTTCATTATTTTAGATCTCACTCACTGATTTTAATTCTTACTATGTTCTTCTTCAAAAATGCCTCAGAAGCGGAAATCTGATCTATCGAAAAATTCGTCCCGGGCCCGTGCAGCAAAAGTTGTACGAAATCACGAATCTTCGGTTGACGCAGAGCTGAGAAGACAACAGCAAGCAATTCTTAAGCAAAATAAGAAAGTATAACTCTTGCTTTCAAATGACATCCTTTGGATTTTCACCAACTTTTACGGTACAAGGGCAGATATATCATCAAATTGGATCACTATTTCCAGAAGGTAATGATCAGCATACATTTTTAAAGGTTTATTTTATGGGTGATGAACAAAATGAAGTAAACCGCCGTGTCCAGTATATTGAAGGAGTAGAAAGAGAAACAGTATTGAAAATTCAACGAATGATACACAGTCACAATGTTTTGGTGAAGATATTTAAAACTGCAATAGACAACTGGCCTTCAGATAATTACAAAGTTGTCATTCATGCTGATCGAACTTCACGTGGTGAACACGAGAGGCGTTACAATGCGCCGATGGTCAATGAAGTTTTTGTTTTAGTTACTGGTGACCCGTGCTCTCCACGAGACATAGTGTTACGGGCACATGATAATACGCGAGCGAAGCCGCGGGTAAAAGCTAGTATAATAATAAAACAAATTCGGGGTAGTCTGATTATACTTTAAAAACTTCATCGATCGGTATCTCAGAAACTAAATGTGATAAAAATTAGATGTCTTAGGACATATTCAGCTAAAATATTGTCATCTATTGGGCACTTCCAGTTATACCGCGTATTTTAAATAGGACACCCTATAATACATTTTTTGGATTTTACTCAAGATTCTAGACAGATTTTATGTATCTTATCCTATACCTTAGTCTAAGCGTTTTTTATGTATCTTATCCTATACCTTAGTCTAAGCGTTTTTGACATAAGGACTTAAATATGCCTTCAAAACCGTCAGAATAGTCTGGCATTTTTATTTTTGATTCTATAAGTGCCAAAATAAAAATATTTCCAAGTTGCTCAAAACATATATTTTTGCGAATGTCATATGCTGCTCAGTAGCAAAATAACCGCAATCGGCCTGGCAGACTTCCGTTTCCATATTCATTATCATAGATACTTACTGTTTTTTATAATTTTAAGTTGCCTAAAACACCTTCGTCATCAGCTGTTGGACTAACAGATGCAAAGAAGAAACATGACAGAGAGAAGGAAAATTGCCAGCTATATAGAAATGAGATTTTTTAGACGTATGGAGACTTAAATCTGAAACAAATTAGAAATTAAAAAGGACAATAATTCCGCCTCAAATGTGACCAAGACGTATATTATTTTACGACGTGGTCATATTTAAGTTAAAATTATTTTTCTCTTTTAAAATTGCTAGTCTGGCTTTTGGTTTTACCTAGTTTTCTAACTGGGTACTACAAGCGACCTCTGATTTTGCTTACTAGGAACAGCTGGCGTTACCATTTTCACTACCTAGCTAGCACACAATTTTGCCAAGCCTTTCGGCGATGTTGTTTTAAGGGAACGTAATAACGTTACTACACAACATATTGTTAACGTTAACGTTATGTTAACACAAGGTAATTTGCTATAAAATGTATCCACGAGAAGTACTGTAAATATCACATTGTGTATTCGGAACGTAGCCATTCGTTTATATTTATACCATAAAATAATAACGTAATCTAAGAAAATTACCATTTTTTCTGGTCGTGTTTTTTTAACAGTTTAGACAATTTATAAATTATTTGTGCGTTTGAATAGATTTGGTAAGTTTTCTCAATTAAATAGAAACCTATTTTCTAAATCATTGTCTGTTGTTTCAGATTACAATGTCTGGTGTAAAATTAATATTTCAGTCATTACCGAAAACAAAATTATTAAGGTTCAACTAAGTTAAAAAAAAAAGAATGAGGGATAAATCGTTGTAAACGTGAAAAAACATTTATAGTCCAGTCATTTAAGCTTAAATTAGGTAAGAATCTCGGAACTGGAGATACCCAGCTGTAAGTCTGTAAATACTTGTATATTGACACGCTAAAAGTTATCTCTAAACCTACATATGGCAGGGTGTACGCAACTATTAAATTTCAAGGTCAAATGTCACAAAAATCGGTTTTTTGCGCTTTTTTGTAAATATCTCATTTTTTATGGGTTTTTTGCTATTTGTATTTATTATCAATATTGTAGAATACAAAATTCTCTACAAATTTTGTTTAAAAAAATTCAGATTACAGTAAGAACGTAAAAGCTATGGAGCAGCAGAGAAGATGAAACAATAGTTGTACCAGTTACTCAAGAAAAATTCTTATCAAATCGAAATAACAAAGATATGCTCATTAATATGTTAATTGAAAAATTACAAGCTGCAAATATTACTACTAAACAAGCCAGAGATAATGCTGATGTTCTTATTGTTGAAACTGCAATTGAAGAATCAAATTCTGAAAAAACTGCAGTTATAATAGGACAAGATATTGATTTACTTGTCATTTTAATTGGGCGTACACTGTCTTACGAACAAGACATTTTCTTTAAAAAATTTGGGAAAGGAAATGTAAAAACGGGGATATACTTGACTAAAAGTTTTGATAATTATCCTCATTCCAAAACACATATTTTATTTCTGCACGCATTAAGTGGCTGTGACACAACTTCTGCGCTTTTTAAAAAGGGAAAAAATCATTTTTTAAAGTTTTTGAGAAACTGACAAATTTGAATGAACTAGCTGCAGCATTTGAGAAAGAAAATTGTTCGGCCCAGAGATTATTAGAGAGTGGAACTCAAATCTTATTGGCAGTCTATAATGCTCCGAAATCTGTGAAAAGTCTCGATCATCTTCGTTATGTGCATTACGTCAAGTCTACAAAACTTAATTAACCTGTGCAGCTTTCAAATATTCCACCAACAAAAGCAGCTGCTCATCAACCTTTCAAACGTGTATTTTATTAAGTTCAAACTTGGTTAAGGCATGATTTGGAACCCCAGGTATGGAGTTGGGCAATGCGAAACGATTTTCTGGAGCCTATCATGACAATTTTACCACCTGCTCCAGAAGATTTGCTAAATACAATTTTCTGCAACTGCAAGAGTGGTTGTGGTTCGCGATGCGGATGCAGGAATGCTCTTTAGCTTGTGGCCAATGTAAAGGGCAAGCTTGTCTCAATGCTCTACCATATCAGAGCGACATTAACGAAGATGGAACCTTTGACCCCGAAATCATGCAAGAACTTGAGAGAAATGTCGTTGAAGACGATAATGAAGACCAGTTTGAAATTTACCAGCAGCCGGAAGACGACGATGAAGAGGAAGAAGATTATTAAAATTATAAATTGTAGTTTTTGTACCTTTTATTCCACATTTTTACTTTTAATAAAAATAAATGTATTGAATGAATTTTTTTAATAAAAAGATTAATTCATAATTTATTTGTTTTTTTTTTCATCATGTAAGAATTTATTAATATTAATTAGGTTAAAATTCAAATATAATTCCTATATTTTCATTAACAATTTTGCAATTACATGGGCAGGTAAGTGTTGTTAAATAAATTAATACTAAATAAAAAGAGGATAGGTTAGGAAAAAAAATGATAAAATATAATATAATAGTTAATAAAAATTGACAAATATTTATAATCATTGATTTATCGATATTTCATCAACTATATATGGCGCGTTTTCGACCGGAGGCACCGGTTGACCTGAAGTGATGCTGTGACCGCGCGCTCTTCGTCATCTATCTCGAAAACGGTTCACCGTATGAAAAATTTTTTTAAACAAAATTTTTAGAGAATTTTGTATTCTACAATATTGATAATAAATACAAATAGCAAAAAACCCATAGGAAATGAGATATTTACAAAAAAAGCGCAAAAAACCGATTTTTGTGACCTTTGACCTTGAAATTTAATAGATGCGTACACTCTACCATATGTAGGTTTTGAGACAACTTTTAGGGTGTCAATATACAAGTATTTACAGACTTACAGCTGGGTATCTCAAATTCCGAGGTGAACTTACTATAATGATTGGACTATTAACTCAATGACTCCATACATTTTACACCAAATTATTATAATAGAAATTTATAAAACTAACTTCTGGGTAATAATATTCTTAATCACAGTAAAAATACATTTTAAAAATATTGTATTGTATGTTTACTTTGTAATGGACAATTCTAGGCAAAACCTCAGGAACTTTAGATACAAAAATAAAAACTACAGACGTGGTTAAGAGGAACCTTATTCACGAAAAAATAGAAAAGCTTAAAATATGATAAATTGAACGTTTTAATTTACAGTGATTGGGCGTATACATTCAGTCGAAAATAGTCTTACTAAATTTCAACATTAGTCGAAAATGTATATAGGGTGGCTCATATTACGAACGTAAAATCAAATATTAAAAAAAATCCTACAACTAATCAAATATCAATTAAGAACTGAAATTCAGAAGAGGCGTTCATCTTTTTAGTAGTGGCGGCTGGGAGCATGGGTTTTGAAAACACTTTATTTTTAATCCACTTACAGAGCTGTTGTACTGAGTATTTTAAATGCTTAACCCTTTAACGTGCACTGTAACCGCATGGTTACATTGAACAAAAACCTTCTCTAAATTCACTCGTATATTTAATCTCACCGGGCGCTCTTACCATATGAATACAACCTTATATTGTTGGTTGCATACATAACAAATCGAATAATTCTTAAAAATTTCGTTTGGCGCTTGTTTTTTTCACGCGCTTCCTGTGTTGTACTGCTGAGAACCGTCAGTTGTGATAAATAATATAATTTCAGTAAGTAATTTTATTTATTTAGATTTATGTTTACGTTTATAAGTTTATAGAGGGACGAAACTAATTACTAAGATAAATATAATTTTAGTGCATATTTACATACTACAAGAAATTAGATTTGAATAGTATAGTAACCATTTGGTTACATTGACCGATAAAAAATTTACTTTTAGAAAAATGGATGGTTTATTCAAGGAAATATCGGCAAAATACTCAGATCAGGAAAACACTTAGAATCTCATGAAATTGCGGTTTCAACTTCTCAAGGTAAAAAAAGAGAAATTCAAGCAATTTTCAATTGGAGTAAAGACGACCTCCCAACAAATGATTCGGTTTTGGAAGGAAGAGGAAATTTTATTCCCGTAACCAATGGAGAAGTACACGGATGTTATACAAAATATTGTGGACTAAACTGGAATAAAAAACTCTTTTTACGACTTTCACAATTAATTTTTTAATTTTTTCTATTTTTTTTTTTTTTTATTATTTTTTCGTTCAGAATAAATATTTTTTATAAATCTAATATAGGTGTATTTATTTGAAATTATATTACTCTATCGGGCACTGTTACCACATGGTTACATTATCAAAGTTCACTTTTTTCAAAAACTTGAGATTCTACTACTTCTGTTAGCTTTAGATGGGCACTAAAAATGTATGAGTAAAATAACATTTTTTTCTTATTAGGCTTTCTATGTTTGCCCGATAAAGGGTTAAATACTTAAGTACAAAAAGACACTTTACTAATGGACCGTCAGATAGTGACAGGTTTAGGTGCCCCATTTTCGCATACAAGCCTTGAAGAGGGTTGAAAAGTGCATCGATTTTAAGTAGAATGAAAGTAAATTTACGAGTGGTTCCTGGGGATAACACATGAAAAATTCGATTTTCCCCTATAAAAATGAAAGGTTATTTGTTGCCCATTTTTCCACGCAAACCGTTTTCACTATATGATCAATTAATAGAACTAGGCTTCGGAAAACCAAAGGCTTTAATATTGCAAGTGGCTAAAGGGTTGAAATAAGGGCGTAATCTTTTTTCCACATGAGCCCATCGAATGTATGAAAATACATCGTCACTAGTCCGAAAAATACATTTTTTTGGATAACCTGAATTTATAAGTGCATTTTGGGGTCGGAAAATTTTTCTGATAAGGAAAATCGAATTTTCATGTGTTATCCCCAAGAGCCACTCGTAAATTTTCTTTTATTCTACTCAACATCGATGTACTTTTCAACCCACTTCGAGGCTTTTATGCGAAAATGAGGCACCTAAATCGGTCACTATCTGACGGACTATAACACAAATATCGGTACTTGTACTTGCAATTTTAAGTTTTTCAAATTGTAGCTCATTAACGTATACGGGATACGCTAGCTGAGTACTTGAATACTTATTATCTTCGTAACCAACGTTATTGAATTTGGTGCCTGTGTAAATTCCATTACAGACTGAAATTGAGAACCTATCAATTTCTTGCTGATGAATACCAATAAGGTTGAAACCGGTCTAAAAATTACAATATTCTTAGTAAGCAAAATCAAAGGTAGAGATTGCAATTAAATTTCTATCTCTGCTATCTTTCCTTTGGATATAATTCAATACCTGTTGCGGTATTAGCCAAGGGAGTAGTTAGTTTCCGAAGGGAAATGGTCGTTCGTATTTTGTGTGACATATGGCTTTATTTTATTTATTAAATTAGAAAAAGATACAACTTACAGATAAAATTTGAAGATAAGATCCCTAGTGGATAAGATTGAGGAAGCAAAGTTAAGACGGTATGGGCACGAGAAAAAAGAAAGAACAAATAAAAAGAAAGGAGTTAAAGTATTAGAGAAATGATGGTCAGCGATAATAGTTTCAACTTTAATGTATGGTCAGAGTACCTTCAACAGTTAGTTTTCGACCACGTCTTATATAAGATAGAGATCATGCCACTCACCATGAGGCTATAGTTTAAACAATAAGCCTTAAAGGGCTGCAGTACTACTATGCCTGAGCCCTAGAAGTACTAGATATTGGCTAGGCTATTAGCGAGGTTCGAAGGGTGGAAAATCAAAATTCTTACATATAACTTTAATTTCGTCTTATAAACTTTGAACTAATATACGAAATTAATTTATGATCGTCAGCTCATAATGGCGAATTCTTACCCAGTAAATTTGGCTTGATCTGAAATTTCAGATTGTAATTTGCAGTTTGTGACGATTTATATAAAACGTCTCCTTCACAATACAATTCAAAACAATTCAGCTCTTGCAAACAATCGAAAATGTTTGTCATATTTAAAGGGGTCTTGATCACAGAAGTCACATCGTATTTTGGAATAATTAGAATAGATTTTTTTATTTTGTCAGAGGCTTCACACTGAACTTGGTCACCATGTATATTCTGAAACATTTCATAAAATTATAGCTTTGGAAAAATATAGTATATTATATTACGAGTATGGAAAGTTACGTTTTTCACACGGGTGGGAAGTATTGTCACACGAGGCATAAGCCAAGTGCGACAATCATGCGAGTGTGAAAATTTTTTTTTATATACAACAAATTAATAATAAAATAAACAACCGTGAACAAGAACTTTTTTATTATTAAAGATGATTACCTACTTAACTACTTTATATTTTTTCTGAAAATTAATCAAAATAGTATAAAATTAATAGCGAAAAGATTAACTGTATATGTTACATTAAGAAAAATAAAATGTACATATTTTAAATAAATAACAATAATCGTATGTTTCAATTTTTATATTTTTCCAAAATAAAAAAAAAGAATGCTTCCAACGCGGACGATTTAACTCGAGTCGCGATGTGGTCGAAACATGAATTAGTGCGTAATTATTCTTCAATATCTCAATAGTGGTGATAGAACTGGTTTATTTCATACACAGTGTCTTGAAACATGTCCTAAATATGGATAATTTTAAGTTCAATTTACTCAATTTTTTCAAATGCAACAATCTGTATAAAATTCATTATAAATTTACCTATGCAACAATACCAACATGTTAGCCAATAACACATATACAGGGTGTCCCATCAGTGCGTAATTGATCGGTAGCTCTTTTATTATTGGAAATACGAAAAAAAATAATATAAAAGTATGGCTTAATAAATATTCCTTAATATACAGGATGATCCATAAACGAGGGGCTGACCAAACTTATACATTTTTAAAGCAAAACACCCTGCAGATAGTTATACATATTTGATTGTTTTCACATCATCAAACAATTTTAATAGACTTCATTTATTTGCTATGTTGTACATAGATAGGGTGTGTCATAATTCGGGGTAAAGATTTTCTCAATTTTTTAAATGGAATACCCTATATGTTATACCATCAATTCATTAATACAGGGCATTCCGTTTAAAAAATTGAGAAAATCGTAACCTTACGTTTTGACATACTCTATATACAACATAGCAAATAAATAAAGCCAATTAAAATTGTTTGACAATGTGAAAACAATCGAATATGTATAACTACCTGCAGGGTGTTTTGCTTTAAAAAAATATAGATTTGATCAGCACTTCGCCAGATAGCACACGACGTCTGAAAGACGTCTTTTTTTTTGTCTTGGTTTGGTCTCAATATCCTAGGACATTATTAAGACGTCTTATAAAACTTATTAATGTGAGAGCTCAAAGACGTTCTTAAGACGTCTTAAATACGTCTTGCCAAATCCTTATAATAATGTGAAAGCTCAAAGACGTCTTATAAACGTCTTTCAGTAAGAAATTCATTTTTTGTTTTGTTTTATAGATAATTGTTCTTTACTAACTTTTGCAAAATATAACTTTCTGTGACTAGAATGCTCTTGCATAAATTTCTTTTTAGGAACTGCTATACAAAGACAACTGGACGGCGTTATGCAGAAAACTACCAACCCACAATATACCAGATATTAAATTGAGTGCGGATTTGGGTAAAAAAATACACGTTCTGCATTTAGTAAGAACCAACAAAGCCTCAGTTAATTATATACCCTATAAAACTATAAAATTCTAGCCCACGTCCTATAGCTTCCTTAAACGAACAAAAACTTTAGAGCTGATTATTTCAGTTTGTCACTATTGAGGATTGGTAGCTTTCTGCTTAACGCAGTCCAACTGCAAATCAAAAAGCAAAATCAATCCATTTATGGCTAAAGAGGAGTGATCGAATGCGCTACATAGAAAAAAATAACTTTTAGTGATCTGTAATTAATAGATATTTTATTAATAAATATGTTTAATTCTATTTTTTGCATTCTTTATAACCTGCGATATTATTCTACTAATTTTAATAACCAAGATATTCTACATCCTCCGTGCACGATGATACCCAATTTTATATTATTATAGACAGATAATAGAATTAGCAGAACTAAACTAATGACCGCGTTATTTATGGCTTATTTAAGACTAATCAAACCATTATAAGCCATTAATAAAACACCTAAAAGACGTCTTATTTATGGCTTCACAAGACTATAAGCTAATAATAAGTCGTCTTAAAGACATCTTATTTATAGCTTATTTAAATATTCACAAGATCATTACAAGCCATTAATAAGATGTCTTATTTATGGCTTATTTAAGGCTTCACAAGACCGTTATAAGCTATTATTAAGTCGTCTAAAAGACGTCTGATTTTTTGCTTATTTGAGGCTTCACAAGACCATTATAGGCTATTAATTTACTAAGTCGTCTTAAAGACATCTTATTTATGGCTTATTTTAAGCTCTACAGACCAATATAAGCCATTAATAAGAAGTCTTAAAGACGTCCCCTTTTGTAACATCAGACGTCTTCTGAGACGTCTTAACCACTTGTCCTTATGTACACATTTATTGTATTTTTTTTGGTCAAAAAATAATCGGATTTTTTTAAAGTGAAAATTTAGGGTCTATACTCATTAAAATAAAAAAAACATATTTTCAGTGGCGAAGTAACTGTACTTTACTTCTGTATCTGTAATGTGTGGAGGGTGGGTTACCCCACGGCACTTAGGCTTCATTAGGCCCATTGTGCATCCTCCTGAGAAGATAGGCACCTCCTAGCTCGTGAGCCAGCCTACAGATTTAATGTACCTAGTTGACAACGTCGCCAAGAGGTGCTTCTCTTATATCGGCCGGTGTTAGCCGATACTCGCCAAACACAAATCTTCTAATAAATAACAGCGTCGAGCAATCGTAAATGATATGCTCGATGGTCTCATCTTCTTGTTCGCACCCTCTGCAGAGTGCGGATTCTGACAGCCCCATGATATGGAGATGCTTTCGTACTTGGCAATGACCAGTCAGAATGCCTGTGACTAGGCGCAGATTCTGTCTAGTCATAGTCAAGTATTTGTTTGCTGCAGTGTTGTCAGGATAACTTAAGAGCTCCCTAGCAACTCTGCAGTTTCTTGTTTCATCCCATCTTTCCTTGAATTCCACAAGGGAATGTTCTTTGATTAGGTCTGTCACTACCGATTTTGTCAGGCCAATAGAAGGGCCAGGTCCAAAAAGTATTTGGTTCGCTGCTTTCTTGGATAGTGAATCAGCAAGACGGTTGCCTTTCGATGTGGCGTGACCTTTAATCCATCTTAAGGTGACCACGTTGTTGATGGATATTTCGGCCAAAGCTTCGTGACATTCTAGTACTAACCCTGAATAAATTCGTGGTCTGTTCAGGGTGAGTAGTGCTTGTCTGCTATCTGTATAGATGAGCATGTTCCTTCCAGTGATATTGTTTCTGGTTATTTCTTTTGCTGCTATGAGAATCCCCGTTAGCTCTGTTTGAACTACACTGGCACTATTGCTCACAGCCCATTTTATGTTTAGGTTTAAGAATCTGGAGTATATTCCACATTCTGAGCCTTGTTTTGTTTTAGAACCGTCGGTGTAGATATGAATCGTACCTGCCACTTCTGGCTCTTCTATTTGTTCTATTATAACTTTATATGGCTTATAAAAGATATATTTTGTTGAGATGGAGTCCATCTTCGCTTGAAGCAGTGGGAGCGTATCCAGCGCCTCCTGCCAAGTGACGTCTCGCCTCACCAGATCCTTCATCAGGTTCTATTCCGACCGTGCGGAGGCATGTCATTGTCGTCAGAGCAACCTCCTTGATGTAAATATCAAGGGGAGTGAGACTAAGAATGACTTCCATGGCTCTAGTCGGTGTTGTTTTCATGGCTCCTGTTATGTTGTGACATGCTGTTCTTTGAATTTGTTCTAGTTTACGGATAGCTGTTAATTTTTGGGTTTTCGGTACCAAGACAACTGCACCGTATGTTAGCATAGGTCTTATGTACTTATGTGGGAGCGAAATTATAAATTGTATTTTCTTTAATATTATTTGTTTATGCGTTACATATCCTTATATAGTGAATGTATACCTATTATAAAAATGAATAATGGGCTTACTTTACCTTAATAATTATCAGTGGCGAACTGTATACCTTTTTTACCTGGGGGGTAGTCAGTATTTATTTTTGTTTATATAGGAGACAAAATTAGTTCAAAAATATTTTATTGACATATATGTGGAAGTATTTATTAGAACACGCAAAAATTTGTGAGTAAATATATTAGTTGCCCGTGTCCCAGTAGAGCGGGTACAAAATTGCCAGTAAGAAGCGATCGTCTCTGACACGGGAATGTTCGTTAAGTGGTTAAAGACGTCTTTCAGGAAATACCAGACGCCTTAAAGACGTCTCTTATGTCTTATGCTAGACGTCTTTGTGCTATCTAAGTCGTTCATGGACCTCCCTGTATATTTAAAAATAATTGTTAAATATTATGGTCATACAACTGTTATATTAAAAATGTCTTCGTATTTCTAATAATAAAACAGCTATCGATCAATTACGCACTTATGGGACACGCTGTGTATGTGTTATTGGCTAACATATTGGCATCGTTGTATAGGCAAATTCATAAGGAATTTTATGAGAAGATAATATACAGGATGTTAATATAAAATAAATCAGTCATCACCACTATTCGTTAACTTAGTCTCTTATAAGTCTGTATATTAAATGGAAACCTACCTAAATTATGATAATTTAATTATTTAATTTCAAAAAAAAATTTATTGCTAGGCAACAATGTAATATTTACATACATACATCCATACATACATTTTTATTTGCTAGACAAAAACGAAACACCCTCTATGTAGAAAAATTTTTTTTTCCAAGTCCATAAACCTTTTATTTAAAACTTGTTTGCGTGCTTACAACACAAACTGAAATATTGAACAATTGCGCACTAACAAAAAAAAATCTAAAAATATTACTTTAATATTATTTTAATGATTTGTTAATAGTATATTACATTACGAGTGTGGAAAGTGACATTTTTCACACGAGTGGGAAATATTGTCGCACGAGGCGTAAGCCGAGTGCGACTATCACACGAGTGTGGAAAATCACTTTTCACACAAGTGATGTACAATATTTTTCCTACGACCACAAAATAATTTCATCAAAAAATGTAAAACCAGATTATTATAATAATTAAAATGTATTTAAAAAAATAATCAACAATAATCGTATTTATTAAATTTTTATAATTTCTAAACAAATAAAAAAAAATAAAAAAAAAATTCTGGCACAGCCAGGATTCGATCGCGGTCGTTGGACGGTCTCAAATTGCAAAGTTGATGCTCTAACCAACTGAGCTAACAGGCCTTACGGTAATTGATTGATCTAATCGCTTATGTGTTTAACCAGAATAAAAAGCAAATATATCTTAGTTATTTTAAAATTATTTTAAAAATAATTGTTAAAGATAAATATCTAGGATCTAATTTACAATAATTTAACAATCATATCGATTTTAGTATTAATATGGACATTACATAGATCAAAATAGAAATTATGTGTTTGACATTTTCTGACAGCTACTGCGGAAAGTAGCATATTCTCACTTGGGTGGAAAGTAAATTCTTATTCATACGCGTGTGATATAGGGCACTTTCCATAGGTCTATATAGTGTGATATGTGTCACTTTCCTAAGTGGTCGTAGGAAAAATAAATATCTAGAATCCTCGCATAAAAATCAATATTCACGATTTAATCATCAAATTTATTTTACTATTATTATGAACATTACGTAGATCAAAATAGAAATTGCGCGTTTGACATATTTGACAGACGTACGGAAAGTAGATATTCACACTAGGGTGGAAAGTAGATTTTTATCCACACGCTTGTGATATAGGACACTTTCTGTGTGACTAAATAGTGCAATAAGTCCTAAGTGGTCGCAGGAAAATATCATTTACAATGCAATGAAGTGACTGGTTTGAAAATTAAACAAATGAATGCAATAAATATTCAAATAGTTTACTATATCTAGAATTGATAGCACTCCTCTTATGAAACTTACCGTAACTTCAATAAATTCTAACAAATCTTCCTTTCCCAATTTGATGATAGGAATTAAAAAGGAAATATTTGTTTTCGCAGGAGATGGACCATAATTTCCGACAGTAAACGTATGTACAATATCGATTTTATTTTCCACATTTGCGCCTTTACCATAAAATTCGAAGTTATCTGGATTTGACTTTCTAAAAATAAATGCATTATGAATATATAAAAATATTTAAGTTAAAAATCTAGTAAATTTTTAAAATTCGGAAACTTATACTCCAATTTCGCTTATCTACGTGTTCCGGCTGGATTTGCACCTGTAATCTTTGCAAACCGTGCACCAAAAACTCATATTAAAAGTACGTTATAACTACCAATACTCACCCTTCGACATATATTGAATTTCGAAATAAAACTTTTAGGTTTAAAGTATCATCGGCTGGATACAAATTTTCTCCAAGACATTTCAAATTAAATTTAATGACGATTTTCTTCAAATTTATATCACTGGATATTATATTAAAAGATAGTTGCATCTAAAAAAGTAATTTCAATTGAGTGCCCATTTATAAAAGATGAAAATAAATAATGTAATAGAAATATAGTATCCCTAATTATTCTTAAAATCGTTATTGAAAACACAGAAGATATTAAATCTGAACTTTAAAGTATAATTATAGGTCATTTCACCGATTTGATATGTATTGTGCATTATCACTAACATCAAATAAAATTAATTAAGAACATCTGTTGTATAATATAGATCACTATAAAATAATAAGGATTAAAAAAAAATCGGAAAAAACGTTTTGTTTTGAAACTCTACGAAAAAACTTTTTTTTAATTAAGTGGTTGTGGACGTAACTACCGTTTAACAATGGTAGGTAAAATAAGGCAAAACGATGAAGATCCAAATTGGCATATATTCAAAGAAACATAGGGCTAGTTCCACCACAGAGATACTCTGAGAAAACGTAACTATTCACCGTACACCTAGCTCTGTGGTGTACTGTGAAATATTTCAAACGTTTCAAACATAAAATAATTTCAATGAAAATGTTTCTAAAACATAGTAGTATACATGTTACACAAAAGGTTACCAAACGAGTTATGTTGTAAAAGGCCAACACTTAATATAGAATTTCTGATTTGTAAGAAGAAGATGAGATATGTAGTTATTTTATTTCTTATCCAGCGTACCAGCTAGAGACAACCCGATATTCTAAATAATTATAGATTGTAGTTGTCGGTTTTTGCCATTTCCTTTTTTTGTTTTTTATGCGTTGTGCTGTTGTTATATGGGAAGCAGAATATATCTTTAGAAATTGAGGTTAGTCCTACACCAGTTTTATTTCTTAGTTCTACAGCGGATTGAAAAGCGGAGCTTCATGTTTTATTTAGGCATGATTATTTGTATAAATCCTTTTTAATTGCCTATAATTTGTTTCAGATTAGTGCATTTAAAGGAATTCGTGGAAATGAAGCAATTCGCCAGCTTTGGGGATATGCCAGTAAAAGTACCATCCAAGTTATTCAACGTTTCCAGAATAAAGTATTAAGGAATATCGTCGATGCACCCTGGTACTGCCGCAATACTGATCTTCATAGGGACCTTAAAGTTGAGACTGTTGAAAATACAATACAAATATTTACCAGTAGTCACCAACAACGACTGCTCCAACATGGAAAACTTGAGATTATCCAGCTCCTCAACAATGCCAATCTAATAAGAAGACTCAAAAGAACCAAGCCTTATGAGTTAGTTCAGTGATGTTAGATTAAAGCAAAGTATATTGTTGTTAAGTGTTATACGTTAACGATAATGTAACAAAATAATTAGACTCTAAGGTACACTAGTGAGTAGAATCTTAGTTTATGAAGTTTTTCATCACTAGATAAGTTAGGTTAGAATAAAATTGCTAATTGATCTTAATGATGAGATTGTAATAATCGTAAATGTTTCTTTACTTGTGGCCAGAGACAAGTAATGAGACGGTTAACTCAATGCAATTTTGCTTTTCACCAAGAATTGACTGGGCGATTGGACTGGAAGATAAGGCCGATGGCGCTGGTATACCTTGTGTTTTAATAGTGGCCTTTTTCTTTATAAGCAACCGGTCAAATTATATTTTTTTTTAAAAAAGAAGAACCGCGGGAAATTCAAATATGTAGATCCACTTTATCTATTATTTTTATGATTTTTTTCTGATTTGATGCACTGGAAATGTGAATAAATATGTAATTCACATTTACTAGCACATCAAATCAGAAAAAAAATCATTTTTTTAGGCACACAAAATAAAAAGCATTAAAAAGGAAAATAAAACGAAGTATGATTTCAATAATAAGATATATTCTGTATTAAACAATAATAAACATTCACACCACAAAGGTTCTACAATAAAATTGAAATACTTACTTTACGGAAATTAAACAAAATCCCGGCGTGATCCGGGCATTGTTAGTTCCTTCGGGTTTGTAAACAAACTTAAAACTACCTAATATGAAAACACCACGACAAAAATGTCATTTACCGGGGAAAACACCAAACTAACAAATTTAAATACGTAACTAATAATGAATGAAAAATTACAAAAAAAATTAATTTACAAGTTAAATTGTAAAATATATATAAGTAAAACGACACCAAAGTCACCAAACATAGAAACAAAAAATTGGACAAGGAGATAAAATGATAGGTTAGAAATACGTCAATCTGGCAGACGTCAAAGTGAAATGCTCGTGCTGTGATGCCAAACTTATTTTCTTCTAGTGCTATTGACTTTTTATTTTTGATCTTTGTACACAATCCTGCTATATATTTCTTAAAACACATCTTTTGTTATGTATATTATATACAAAGAAATTAAAAGTCCAATATAAGTATTACTTATGGATAAATAAGATCATTATTATTTTAATGTAAAAGAAACAAATTTGGAAAATGTTCATAACGGCAACATTGCTGGAACGTTACCAGCGACATCTTCCCTATCTTTTAGCTTATGAGAACAAGATAACGTTATAAGGAAATAATGTACATGACAAAGATAAAATACCAGCTGACCCTGATGACTACTATACCTAAATGTCAATCAATTTTGGCTATGAAGTTAACTGTCTCGTGTTGTCTCTGTTGTGGCTTTATAAAAAAAAAACCTATTTGTTTCAGATTGGTGCATTTAAAAGAATTGGTTGAAATAAAGCTATTTGCTTTTATATTTTATGAAATGTATAAACATTATTTATTTTTTTGTTTAAGAATTTATTATTTATTTAAAAAGGACTTAATTACAAATGAATGGATTAGACTAGTAGTTTTTCGTCGTTGCACCAGATTTAGCCTTTTGGAATATTTTCTTAATAATTTTATCATCTAAATGTTTAATTTTTTTAATGTGTTCTGTGATGGTATCTATTAGACGTTTCCTAATTTTATATTTTGCATAATTAATATTAATACACAATACCTTTTAGGACACGTGTGATGATAGCTTTGTTAAGCCAGGAAAGTTAAGCCCAATATTAATAAATTTCATTTTTACTCATTGATCTACTTATTTCACTCTTCACTTTATTTAGTGTTTTGGTTGTAACATGCTATCTTCTTGCTTTCATAATAAAATAAGTTTCTTATTGTTCCTTGTACAGTATCACTTACTTTAGTAGTATTTAATTTAGGTGCAATGTGCGATTGTCCTGGCGAGTTGTAATTGATGTTTCCTCTCAGTTTTCATCCATGTGACCTGGCATTTACTGATATTTAAAGCATCTGCAATTCGTTTATCACTTAACACACTTCCAGACATGTTGGTACCTAACTACCAAGAATATGACAGTAACTACGCGACCGTGACAAAGCAAAAAGGCTTACCTGTAGGTAAATCGTATGTTTAAATTAGACATAAGCCTATATTATATGTTCCCTGTTGTAATAACATACGATCTCACACATAAAAGTAGAATAATGTATTTGAATATGAGAAAGATAATACTGTGAAAGTGTAAAGTATATTATCACAGGTATCACATCTGTGAAATGGCCTATAGAAATTAATGTAATTTTTATACACAAGAGATTTTATTATTTATAGAAAATATGTGTTGAAAATAACAAATTTTTAAGAATGAAATGAATTATAAATGATTTTATTTATATACGGGAAGGCTTCAAAATTACCGAAAGTAATATTATTTATTAGGTCGATTCTGTTTTATTAGGTCGATTTGTTTAATTAAGAAATATTGAATGTGAACACTATTCAATAGTACGGTATGTAATTTTAACATACACAACTTTATGTCATACCGTTTTCTCGCTATCTAGCTTATTTGCAAATAAACAAATATACGTAGTGTTTTCCATAATGCAGGTTTTATCTAGCTTTATTTCCTTCGAGCCTTGAATGTGTAATTCACATTGGTATCCTGGTTCTCCCACATTTTCTGCTGATACAATTACAATTATGTTCTTATCTTCTCCCAAAATAATGCTATCACTAAAATTAAAAAGTATCATTAGGTATAAATTTGCTCAAAATATTTTACTTTAGGTGTTATGGAGTTGATAATTTTGAGAGATTTTTAAACTTTTTAATTCTCACGCACTGGAGAGATACCCCAAGGCTAACTCATTCGAAGGCGTTTATAATCAACCCTTCTATAAACTCCTCTGCTCAGATCAGAGAATGAAGTAGGAAAGATCTCTGCATTTCCACGGGATTGATTACAGAACATTGTCGTCTGGGTAACCACATGAGAAGGATAGGTCTGCAACAAACATCAGACTGTGATTTTGAAGCGTGGAAGAGGAATCTGCTGAGCCTATTTTATGTACCTGCTCCCCTTTGGAGAGAACCAGGTTCCAGATCTTCGTATTCACCCGCCTTGAGCCTACCGACCCACCCAATTCGACCATGGCCTTCATCAAAAGGTGATGAACTATAAGTTAGTCATGAGCCACAATAAATCCATCTGGGTCACAGTGGAAGGCGATGAGATCATCCTACTCATTTTTAACCTAACCTAATACAACACACATAATATACATAAATCTTATACAGGGTATCTGTAAATAAGTCCGAAAGATTTTAGGGGGTGGTTGCCGAAGTTTTTTGTTAAAAAGACGTTCCTATAAACGTAGGTCGAAATACAGAGTGTTTAAATTTTAATTTTTTATTTATTTTTATTAATTATTTCAAATAGTTTTAAAGATATTTACTCGAAATTTGCAAAACGCTTTGGAAGGAGAATTGTGCATTTTTTGGGGGTGATGCGAATATTTCTACTTACACCAGTAAAGTTCGTGAGAGAGTACCACAATCTTTTTTAATAAAAAAACTGGTGCTTCACTGACTTTTTTCACCGAAATTTTTAACAAAACTTCGGCAACTACCCCCTAAAATTTTTGGCACTTATTTACAAACACTCTGGTTATGTTTGTAACTGAGTTTGGATTCGAATCATATTCATATGAATAATTTGGAATGTTGGAATGTTTAGGGTATTACATGAATAGGTGGTTTTGAATCCCAGATTTTTACAATATTTGATCCCTTTCACCCTTTGGAGGTTTAAAATTAAACAGTTTTCATTATTTCGTTGGGGTAATATTGAAAAATAATTTACCTATTTGAATACTTACAAAAGAATGTATGTAATATTATTATTTAACATCAAATATGGTGGCCAAAGTTATTAAATTGATTTCGAACGGATCTTATAAAAATATTGATAAGCGGTGTTTTTTATTACCCCATCAACGCAGCTACTAACAGAATAGAATATATTCATATCATTATGTTTTTATGAAAAAAGAAAGTATAAATCACCTGCTTCTTATCACGTTTATTAATATTTGAGTTTGGCAAATATTATCATCACCGCATCCATGAGCATATGGAATTGATCTTTCAATTAAATTTGTTCCTTGCGAAAAAATAATATCCTGAAGTACTTGAGTTGACAAAGAGTATTTGAAGGGTTGAAAATTCGTTGTTGTTGGCTAAAAAAATTATTAATTTTTTTATCAAAAATATATGTATAGTAAAATTCTAAATTTTTAAATCGAATTACATAATATGTTTTAACTAAAACAGCATAAAGAATAGAATGGAGTACCTTGTGTTATTTATAATTATACAGATTGGGCAACTCAAAAGAGTTCACCCTGTTATTTGGCAATATTCATCATTTTTTTTTTTTTTTAAGAAAATGCTGAAACAGGTCGGTTTATATTCCAAAGGGGACACTTTTTAAAATACAAACATTTGTCATGTGTCAACCCCCTTCCTTCCACTTCTACAACCCCTTAATTTTAAATAGAGAATATACCATGTGTGGCACATGATTAAAAAGATATTGCGATGGACTATTTAGGCATATAATTGATCATCTATAACTTTTTTTAGATATTAACTTCTATGTTTGAAAAAAAAAGTATGTTTGAAAAAAATTGAAGTATATTTATTGCTTCTATAAAATTAAACGCAACGCCTATGTTTGACTTATGTGTTTAATTTTTTATATTACATCAACGAATTATACAAAAACAATAGAAAACTTTATTAAATATAACGTAGATAAAATTAACTAAATTAGAAGAATTTATTATCCCATTAGTGATATTAATGAGTTGAATGTTTAAAATATTCTCCGTCGACTTCCATACTATTGTAAAGTCGCTGTTTGAAATTACTTCGATCGTTTTTAAGCATTAAGTGCATATAGATATAACGGGAGGCCCGGGCCGCATATTCATATGTTACCGACACAACCAACCGCTCCAGAAAGCCGATTGAGTTTATATAAGTTACAGACGTAACTTTAGGATTCCGTCGGTAACTTATACAAACAACAAGTGGTACATTTGCTCCTATACAATAGGTATTGAAAAAACTCTTGATATATCAGCGAGAATACATAAAGTTTATTCTTGTATAAGTTGGAAGATAAGATTTAATATTTATTTTTTGAGTCTATGAAAGTGGTTAATTATTAAAGTCTAAAGAAAAGATATGTTTCGAGAAATAAACTCTAAATAAATAATAAAATATATAATATAACTCTCTACTTTTTCCTTTTGTTATCACCTAATCCTACATTTTTGTCAACACATTCCTTAAAATTGTGGTGCGCTTTTTTCTGCTTTCCGGAAATCCCGCTGGTAAGTCTTCTACTTCCAGTCACCTAAAATAGTTATTTTTGTGTTTGACATGCTCATTCTTTGTTGTAAAAAATTATACTAAGGTCATTTTGTTTTGAGAATTTCTTGATAAATAATTTTCAAGATATTCACGAAATATGGTCCATATACATTGATTATTTCAGGTAGGTATATGTAAATTAATTCAAATTGAAACTAGTAAACTTTACATTTTCTAATGTTTAAACAAAGTGTATTTCTTACCTTGGTTTTCCTTCTACTAACAGAAGTTGGCTGAACGGAGATTTCCATCCCTTTTATCTTCTTGGTGCGCCTATATTTTTTCTTTACAGTATTCAAATTTTGATACTTGAACACTGTAAACAAACCAGATACCAAAGAATTTTCTGTTCTAGTTTACTTTTTTTTTAATGGTTAAACATGATTGAATAGTTGGGTGGAATAATACAGGTTTATCGTCTAATTTGTTTAGAATTGTTTCACCAAACTCATTCCATTGTTTGTTCAAATTAAGTATTTCCTCACTGGAAGTTACTAGATTCATTATTGTAATGAAATAAACAAATTTTCATACTTTAATAACACCACAGCTCGCAGTCGTCGCCAATCGTTAAGTTACAGACATAAACTAAGAATTACGTCGGCAACTTATTATTACGTGTTCGGCATCGTTCGGAAATCCGATTGTCTCTTTGTGTCGGTAACATATGAATATGCGCCCGGGCCGGATGCATATTTAATATTTACACATCCTCCTATATGACGGCACCGGAGTGCTGAAATCTGTTCGCCTTTGTAACCTACAAGTACGCTACAAAAGCTCATTGATTTAGGCACCAATGCATGAGGCCTCTCTTATTGCTGGAATCAGTAAGCAAGCTTATCTGCATTCTATGAAACAATGGCTGTACTTAAACTGCCGTTAAACGGTCGTGTACTAAAATGCCGTTAATAGACATGATGTCATTCAAATGAGGCATTTTAAGTGTTTTGGGATTAAAAAAAAAGAAAATATACAAGAAGAAAACGAAGGAACGACTTGTCGTAGGGTGGCGGCTTCGCCAACAAATTTTAACCCATACCTGGCTATGGCTACGCCTATCGGCATAGACGCCAACGGCCTGGACACAGCTAAAATTGAAAAGTAAAGTCTCACATAACATAAAATTTAATTTGTATGGGTGTCTACATCAATTAGCTTTTGTAGCGTACTTGTAGGCTACAAAAGCGAACAGGTTTCAGCACTCCGGTGCCGTCATATAGGAGGATGTGTAAATATGCGGGCCGGATCCAGTCCAACAACGTGTCCAGGTTCGTCAGATTTGTACTTTGTCGTCAGGTATCGGTAACTGGTATAGCCCGAGCTGAAACTATATTTTTGTTTCAAAGAACAGATTCTAGATGGCGCTGTACACAACAATTTACAGAAATCTACAATAGATGGTGGAAAGAGTGGGAGTGTCATTTGTCATTGTCAGGCATCCATTATTGATTACCTCGCGGTGAATGACATTTGCCATTTTACCTGTATTTTTTGTGATTATCAATATCATATTGTCAATAATTATTATTTGTTTGTATTTGGGTGTGCTCTGGATCCTGTATGAATAAATAGTAAGTATTTTGTAAATAATTGTTTATTGTATTGTCAACTTGGTCTTGTTCAATTGTGTTTTAAATGTTCAATTTGTTTACTTGATCTTGCTGACGATTGAGCTTATTTTAAATTTTTGTGGTCATTTTTAGTTATAAAAGCTGTAATATATCGTATTGTTGTATGCCAAATTGTTTTGTAAACACTCTAAAATGCTAATAACGATTTATTTCAAATTTGAGTATTGGGTGTTCGTAGTCCATTTTTCAAGAATAAAACAACAAATTTGTAAAAACTATTTAGTATGTGATAAACATTTTGAAGATATGTTTAAAGTTCTTGGTGCACGCAGCGATCTAACTGTATTTTTATTTGTTCTAGTACAAACTTTTTCAAGCCGTTTGGAGTGGCAGTATTGCATCGTTGAAGACAAAAACAGCCTAGTCAAGGAAGTAATAGTCACTGTACTTTTTGTATTCATGCCGCACATTTGATTTTTATATTGATTTAGTTCAGATTGTTACTTTTACTGTTTTTTATTTGTTCTAGTACAAACTTTCTTCAAGCCGTTTGGAATGGCAATATTGGATTGTGGAAGACAAAATAGCCTAGTCCGGGAAGTAATGGTCAGTATACCTTTTTTTTATTTATGCCTCACTTTTTGTGCTCCCCAACAGATTTGAAGGGTTCAGGAAAAAAAGGGGCCTAGTCACAATTACCAAAATGTTCAGAAAACCAAATTTAATTTAGACTGACTAAATACAAACTTTTGATACTTTAAGGTAATTGATTACAAAAAGATGTTACTTTGTTTAAATGTTGCCTGATTATATTGTAGTTTACCACTTAATTTACCAGACAGTTGTAATTTTTTATTCTAAATACTGAAAATGACAAACAAACAGTAGGAAAGTCCTTGGACATAATTTTAAATGCACTGTTTTGCATTTGCTAATACTGGTATTTTACAAAATAGGGCGGACCAGTTCAGTTTATATAAAAATGTGGCTTAGCTGCTTTTTTCTTCCTGTACCCTTCTTGATTTATAAGTTGATTAATATTTATTTTTTGTTTTAGATAAAACTCTTCAACCTCTGTGGACAATTACTTAACTTTCCAGCTAATTAACACGCTACATTTAATTATTCTATTTTGTATGTTTTTTTTGTTTTAATAAATTAATTTTGTTGATCATGCTTTTTAATTTTTTGTAAAAATATTTCAACTTGTAGTCAAGTTAGGATTGGTTCATACTACTCATTTTTTACTTTATTGTAACAAATATAATTTTATTGCTACAATAAACGTAAAAAAGGAGTTGGTATGAACAAATCTTAATTTGACTACCACTTTTAAACTAAATATTGAAGGACCATTTTGAATGTTCCCGCGTTTTGTGTTAACTAAAGTTACCGCGAGATGGCGCCACTTCCGCCAAATAGTTCAAAGAACGCTCACCGGGTGTTACAAAACTGTCTCAAATTTTAACATTGCAGTTTCCATTCTAAAAGTAATTGTTCTGTGTTTGTCGTATATCAACCGCCCGATGAGAAGCAACGGGCCTACCACGGGCTGGGCCAAATAGGATCAAAATGGATCCGTTTGCTTTCCATCGTGCGGTAGATATACGACACCGTACAAATCTGACGAACCTGGGCCCGTTCTTTGCTTGGGCCCTGCTTGGGCCCGACCCCGGCCCAGTCCGGTATATCTACACGCACCTTAACAGAGGTTAATAGACTGCATTCATGCACTATTCGCCGAGTTCTTCCAACAAATCAGGTTTAGTTATATAAATCTTGCTCTTTAAGTAGCCATATAAGAAGAATTCCAGTAGATTTAATTAAGAGGACCTTTCTTGCCATTCAATAAAGCCTCTCCTTCCAATCCTTTGCATTGAACATCCGTCATTGAGATATTGCCTTATAGCTCTGCTAGAGTGCGGAGGGATGCCATTTTGCTGGAAAAGCAGCTCATCTTCTGAGTACCTGTCAAAGTGGGATTAGTAATTACCTCTAATAATTCCAGATAAGTTTCTCAACTTAAACTTTTTGGCAAAAAGAATGACCTAATAATACGATCTTCGTGAAATACTCTAGTGTTTTCCATCAGCCCAGTAATGTCGATTTACAGTACCATTTACAAGAAAGGAATATTCATTGGAAAACAAATAAAAAGTTTGCTTTGTTATCTGTTTATTCAGTCAAAATTTTACGAAACTGCAGTCGCCTTGTCTAGTAGACCG